AATGCTAGATAGTGAAAGATAAAATATTGCAGTAAAGTGAATAGGATTTTTTTATATATAAGTTTTTTTATATATAAGACATTCTTTCTCTTCATTACATGAAATCTATTTGACATTATCTGTAATCAAAGGCGCCGATAAAAGCATTTTGCAAACAAATAAAATATAATACCGTACAAGAAAAGCATAATTTGGCATTCCATGGAAATTATGTTGACATTGGATTCAATGGGAACATAATTTTATTACAAAACACATAACAAGCATAATAGTTCAAAAATTTGTTTGTTTGTTAAAACAGATGTTAATGCAGTTATGATTGAATGACAATAACAACGAATCTACAATGCGAATAAAAACATATAAATACAATGTCGACCGATGCAACCGATGTAGAAACTTTTCACCTATCTATATTTCTTTTCTTTCTTTTTTTTTTTGGGGGGGGTCATTTTTTCCTACATTCTGGGTTTAAAAAAAGAAGAAGAAAACGACGACAACAACAACAACAAAAACAAATCAGAGCATCAACAAATATATTGCTTTTTCCCGTTGTGAAATCGTTGTTTGTGTTGCTTTTTTGTGCTGTAGCAGTATATTTACTTACTTGAGTATATCATCTTTTTCAAACAAAGAAAACATGTTTTCGCATTGTTATTAAATTAGGTTATTACAAAATATTTAGAAGTCCATCTGAAGATGTTATGAAATACTAAAACACTAATAATAATGATAATAATAATGTTATTATTATTATTATTATTATTATTATTATTATTATCATTATTATCATTTATTATTATTATTATGACTATTTTTATTATTATTATTTTAATTATTATTATTATTATGTTTATTGTTGTTGTTGTTGTTATTATAAGTATTATAATAATTATTATTGGTATTATTATTTTTATTATTATAGAAAGACAGAAAGAAGGAAAGAAAAATAAAAATAGAAGAAATAAAGAAAACATAAATAAAGAAAAAAGAAATGTCTAGCCTTTTAAGAATATTATAAATTAAAAGAGTAAAAGATATTACCAAAAAGAAACATTCTATGGATGGGTGTATTCTAAAAAAAATTGGCTTTACACTTTTGTACATAAAAGTTAACTGAGGAAACTAAAACCTGGACCGACTTTAATAGTTAAAGTTTGCCCAACGTACCATGAGAGTCGTTCAACCAGGGTTGTACTGTATTTATTTCTAGGTTTTTAATAGCCTAGGAAGATCATCATAGCAATATTACAGGCTCTCTTTGGCTCAATTTAGCTTGTTTTCATATAACGTATACGTATAGCTCAATTTTCGCCCACGTCGCGTCATTTTATTTCATTGAGATTATATTATTATTATATATTTGGATGATTTAGATAGCAGCAAGGTTAATTTATCTATTAAATAAACGAAAGAACACTGATTGTAATTGCATAAGATAGTGACACATTCACTGAATGTTGAAAGGAATTAGATTTATCTTACAACATTCTCCTCTGCGTTCAAAGTTTTTGACATTATCGCCGTTTGAACGGCGCCATCGAAAACATTTGAAAACAAATAAAAGATGTATACATTCACACTTTTCCTGACTCTGTGTTTAGTTTGCGTTGTCAAACCGAATTTATTTTTCAGTAATTATCAATCTATTTCCTCAAAAATGTACCTCGCAATAAAGTAAAGAATACATTTGCAAAACCATAAGTAATGTTGTTGGCAAACAGAGACTGATCCAAGTAACAAGTGTTTACTGCGTGTTACAGAGGACAGACGTCGAATGAAGTAGCAGATTATCAACTGAACTGTTTTTGTTGGCATAACTGAAACAGGGAAACTAATAATATTACAATAACAATAGGTATACCATTGTTTGATGTGTAATAATTAAAACGATTTTAAAAATCATCAATGAGGAGTTGCTATTCACGTGAAATGGGTATTACAATTGTATTGAGATGTGATGTTCTTCGTGTGTTGCTTTCATTGCATTTGTTGACGACATGAACAAAATCAGTAATAAAGGAGGACCAAACGAGACGTTGTTCTGCGTTTTTTGGCTTTGTTCTTTTACTTTATTGAATGACACAAGTCATAAAACCCCACGAATAAATTTTTAACAACACACGCAAAATTTAAAATATATAAAATACAAGCAGGCCTCTCAATAAATGAGATTAATTAAAGATTTTTCTAGTTTGTTTTATCAAATATCATCTTTATTCAATTTCTTTGTTAATTATGTAGTAGATAAGATCAATGAGAAATAATACGCGCATTAAAATCTGTTTCAATTTAAACTCCTCTTTAACTGAGTTGTCTGTGTGTCCAAAATACTTCAGAATCTTAATAAAAATTCGAAGATTAAACATATTGAAGACTCGGGTATTTTTAAAATACGTTAAAATAAATGTCACCCACGTAGCGTAATTTTATTATATAATTCCATTTCTGTTTATTATTCCGGGATGATAGATACAATCTTATCAGCATAAGATAGTGAAAGATAAAATGTTGCAGTAAAGTGAATAGGATTTTTTTATATAAGTCATTCTTTCTCTGCATTACATGAAATCTAGTTGATATTATCAGCAATCAATGGCGCCGATAAAAGCATTTTTCAAACAAATAAAAGATAATACCGTACAAGAAAAGCATAATTTGGCATTCCATGGAAATTATGTTGACATTGGATTCAATCCGAACACAAATCTATTATAAAACACAAAACAAGCGTAATAGTTCCATAATTTGTTTCTATGATAAGCCGTATGTTAATGCAGTTATGATTAAATGACAATAATGACGATTTTACAATGCGAACACAATCATCTCAATACAACAACAACAACAACATTAACAACATAACAAAACAACAAGAAATGACTTGCTTCCTCCCGATGTGAAATCTTTTTTTTTCTTTTTTGCTTGTTATTTTTGTTTGTTTGTTTGTCTGTTTGCTTGCTTAAATTATTATCATTAATTGAGTATTTAGAAGATTTGTTGTAACCGTGATGTCCGGGGAACTATTGTCTCCTCCCTTATTTCAAATCGAGGCTATAGAAAGAGATGCAATGACTGTAGAAGTTCAAATATATCACTGTTTCAACAATGCAAAAATCTTTTCGCATCTTTATTAAATTAGTCAAAGACGAGGTTCTTAAATTAAGTTGATTAGTAAGCTTTAAGTACTCCATCTAAAGATGTTATGAAATACTAAAACACTTATAACAAAACAAAACCAAAAAAGACAAAAACAAAAAACAAAAAAAAACACAAACTACACAACCGGAATATGACTAATTTTATGTATATTAAAACGTAGATACTTCTTTCTACAAAATCTTTTATATATAACAATACCTGTATTCAGACTTTCATATTATTTTTCTTAGATAAAAATATTTGTAAATGTGTCTCGAGCGCCATTGCAGACGACAATATGCATATAAATGTCAAATGTAATCGGTCCGTATTGCATCGATAAAACGCCGAATGACGTCATTCACAATTTTTCTGAAACTACGTTGTTTTAAACATATTATAGAATTCAAGCAACTCCCAATTCATCACAACTTATTTTAGACATATCCCTGTCTAAGTTTGGGAAAACAAAATTGAATACTGTTACTATAAAGAACCTGTAGATTAAGTCCGTGAAAATAAAGCCATTCTTCTTTTACCGTTGATGAATTAAGAATTCTTTATTTCTTACATATGTAGCAGGTTAAGTATTCAGAAGAAAACAAGAGTGAAAAGAACGAATATCTTTATGAAAACCGATATCAATGTCTTTATGAAAACTGATATCAATGTCTTTATGAAAACTGATATCTATGTCTCAAAGAAAAATGAAATCTAAATTAAATTTTAAGATATCCTGGTATCATTTATTTACTTTAAAGTAAAGTACACTGATATTTTTAATGATATATGATATTTATTCTTAAAGAATTACATAGAATTATATTCGAGAGGTATTATCTGATTAATGTTTAACAATTAAAATTATTTAATTAATCAAACACAACATTTTAACAAAAACATTATGTAATGAATAAAACGATCCCACGAAACATCCGTTCAATAAATCAACTGTATTCGCACTATAACTTTGATTGATTACTCTATGTCGTTTTCTTCTCGTGTAATAATGTGAAATGTGATTTATCTATATAAATCAAATATCGTTTTGAGATTTTCTCACACTGAATTTATCAGAGAAAGAAAAAGTATCCCATACTGCAGAACACTCTTGCACCAGCTTCAACAAAACAAAAAAACGATAAATAAATGTTTTATTTATCATCATGCGTTAGGGGCTAATGATCAATTTGAATGCTATGCAATACGTTTATTTTCCTTATTCCACTGAACGCCTGCAGATATTTATCAACTGTGATTAACGGTTAATCTTTAAAGCATGCGCGATCTGACGAGATAGATGCATGTTGATTTAGTTACCGAATTTAACATGAAATTTTTCGTTTTCACGCCATGGTAGTGAAACATGTGATATGTATTTGCTTTTTAAAAAAGTACGAAACGCACTCGCTGAATTAGTCGAGATGTTCAATTTTTCGTTTTAAGTCAGTGTGAAAAATATTTCCGAGAAAGTAAAAAAACTTTGATAGTAATAGAACGCCGACAATTTATTATGATTATATGTCAAGTTTTGGCTTAACTAGTTATGGAAGGTCATGAATTATTTCAGCGACAATCGGGTACCTAGAGAGAGGATTGTTTACGTTATTATAACTTGTACCACGTTTCATTTGCATAAATAATATAAAAATGATTGCCTGTCCTTATTATTTAACATAAATTAACTGTTGCAATAAAATACCATAAACTTAATCATCACACTATGAAAGAATCAAAAGTCCCGAGTTGGATATAAACCTATAATACATTGGAAAGTATTTTAACCACCCGAATACACATAATTACATACATTAAAATACTTATTTTTCTATTATATAATATTCTATCATCTTGTAATTTCAGGTGCCTTTTTGATCCCGTACTTCATAATGCTGGTATTTCTGGGTCTGCCACTGTTTTATATGGAGTTAGCCCTCGGACAGTTTCACAGAAGCGGTGCTATACTTATTTGGAAACAACTTTGTCCGGTGTTTACAGGTCAGTAAAAGATAAACATTTCATTTATCTTATCTTATAATTGTACAAGTCCAAAATTGACTGGTACATGTAGATATTTCATTTTAAAAAAGATCGCCAAAAAGGGTGAAATTACTACTTTTAAACACATAGACATTTATTTGTATTATAGCCTTCTAAGAATGTAACAAATAAAAAATAAAAAACAGCGTGATCTTCTTTACACTGCTAAAGCCGGTGCTATGGGGGAGTGTCGTGGAATCATTTGCATTACCACAGCAGTATATGATCAGGTTCAATTTAATTTGCTAAAGCATCAGTTAAGCGGTGTTTGAAGACCTGTAATAGTTTGAAATAAAACTAAAGATTCCATTTTAACCCTTTTCTAAATTTTCATAAGATTGTAAAAATTACTGATTTTAGAAGATTATGGAAATAAGTTATTTAACTTATGAACAAGATTGCTACAGATTACGAATTTTTCTTATTATATTGTGATAAAACGTTTTTTACTCAAGCAGACCCAAACTATTAATTTAATACTTTGACAGAAAATTGAATGGCATTTTGCATGCGATGAAGAAGCTCTATATTATAACTAAAAAATCGTGTACATGCGTCATATCTCATTTCGCTTCTCTCTTTAGCTTAATTAGGGTATCATATTAATTAATTGCTTTTGATAAATGGGTTATTGTACGAAACAATGCGGAAAGAATATCAATTCCCACGTCATAAGTCCTTGAACCCTCAGATAAAACATTCAAATTTTGCGTTTCCCTCTATCATCACAAAATTATAATTAGCGTAGAAAATAAATCGGTCACTTGAGTCTTATTTCTTTTGTATGAATTGTTATGCCTGATTATTATGCCTAGTCTTTCAGATTTTTTGATCCTTCAGGATTGTTTCTGATACGTCAATAATTATGTCTGGGCCGATTAGGCCACAAATCTCATCTTGAATGATTATTTATGTTGTAAGGTAACTATTCAGACTCTTATCTTCGGTTCAAACCCCAATTAATAGCAATGTTGTGCATTAAAGGTTGTATAAAACATGGTTATAAGCAATCACCGTCATAACATCAGAAACATACCTCGCAACCTACAAAGAAAACGTAAGAAGCTTATTAAAGTCATTGATATTTAGCATACATTTTGTTTTGCCAAATGAGTAACTGTTGTAAAACGTTTAAAAATGGTGTACAGTATGTTAGATGCTTATTACCTGCAATAAGTAGCACGGAATGTAAAATTATTTCCTATAAAAGTAGCAAAATGTTAACAAAGTAGTATTGTTCCTTCCATACTAAATACTACATCACTATAATTGTCAACAAGCAACAGATGCAAATATGGTTCAAGTAATTGGGGAATGAATAACTGTTTGGAAACTGCCCATGAAAGTATAAAAAAGCTTTCGAGAAATAAAAATAAAAAAAACATTCTTGGGCATAATGGGTCTTTGAAATGCAGGGATTTCAAAATCAAGTACAAACAGTGTAATCTTGATCAGACTGTAAGGACATGTAGGCCTTCCTGGCCCATTATTAATGACAAAATTTTATCTCTTGCCGTTTCAGCAAATTAATGGTTAATTGTTAATTATTTTTCCTTTTTTTCAGGTGTTGGTTTTGCAATATGTTTAGTAGCTACATACGTCGGAATGTATTACAACACAATTATTGCATGGGCACTCTACTATCTCATAGCATCATTCAGGTATCTGTCTTTTTACAATTTGTATACATATTTTGGGTGAAACTGATGATGGGACTTTACTGGTAGAAAAAAGATTAAAATGACTCTCCACCCATTATTTCAGGCACGAGTGGGTTCATGAGTGGAACTACCTACTTTCTGTAAGCTGCCCGGATAGCTTTATCACGTGTAACAAAACTTTTTAAGATTCAGTCAACAACGTTGAGATGCACAATATTCGAAGACTGAGACCTTAGTCACTTTTTCTGTGAATTTGTTTTTGTTTCAAATAGTAAAGTTTAATTTCATGAAGCATTTAGCATGTACGGTATAACATATGTCCTTAAAGTATATGAAAATTTTATTTATCTCTTGGATTTTATCAAAATAAACATATATAATTTGATTTTTTAACAAGAACATTGTTGTATTTTATGTGTGTGGCGACCAAAAGTCATCGCTCAAACTAGAATTGTATTGTGTCAAATTGTGTAGTCAGATTACAAGGTATTGTCTCATCATCCAATAAATTTATGTCATTGAATAAGGAATTTGTTTGAAATAATTCAAACATCATCGTCAAATGAAAACGAACCTTCTTGTTTGTAGGTTATGTTTAAAGTGACTAATATTCGTTATTTAGATGATATTTCAAAATATTTGTTTCACAGGTCAGAAGTCCCGTGGGCCAGTTGTGATAATGAGTGGAACACACCTCATTGTTACTCTATAACACATGAAAACAACCAGAGCTTTATTGATAACCAAACGCATCCCTCCGCATTCGAATACTTTTAGTAAGTATTCTAAAACCATCTGTTCAAAAATATTCCGCCTTCGAATACATTTAGTAAGTTTAAATAAACAATGTGTTCCAAAATACCTCGCATTCGAATACTTTTTGGAAATATTCTCAAACCATGTGTTTAAAAACAACAACAAAAAACAAGAAACCCATGCATTATGAAGATGAGTAAAAATAGAGATTATGCCTTATTTAAAATTTGAAAAATAGAAATCACCTAAGAACGTCCGAAACAGCACAATTGATTACTTTATCTGTGTTGGTGCGCAAAACAAAAACGAAAATGTTTCAGGCGGCTCGGTCAAGCACTTTCGAATGCACTCAGAAATATAGTCATGCCACATGCCTCAAGATTCGTGCTATTTTTACGAACAGCTTGAAAATGTATTAAGAAGGAAAATATTGTTAGGTGAATAAAGAAAAAAAATCACGAATTGCAAATGACATTTACATTCCATGTGAATCACCAAAAATAAAAAGTGGTTAAAGTATGCAAAAGAAAGCTCTTAATTAATCTAAAGGATTTTGTAATTGTGTCTAAATTTTAACATGGCAGAATTTGGTGTGTTTCTTGCATTTATTCATGTATTTCTAATACTTAAAACTGATTTTCTTCTTTTTATCTTTACAAGCTTTTAAACTGTCATTTCAATTCATCGTCTGTTGAAAATTAATGAAAATGTTCTTAAACTGCACTTATCTTCCCACTTTATCTAATTTAACTGAAATCATTACATATGTGATTAAGTATGTTATAAGAGTCTTGCCAAAAGTTTTAACATTTGTTTATTCAGATTCTCATATAAATGCATGTTAAGTTGATAAGCAACGAGATATTTGATTGAGTTAGACACTATTGTCAACATTTAACAATTCATATTAAAGATTTTGCAATTTCTGAAGTACACGGATTTTACCATTACATTGGTTAAATGATGTACATATATATTGATTTTTAGATAATAATGACGATTTAATATCTAGCGCTGGTCAATGAAATATGAATTGTTCAAAGTGGTCAGCGATTTAAGATTTTGTCACTTGGCTAGTCAACAAAATAGAAGGACCGTTAAAAACATATGATGCTGCAAAAAGCTCATGCTTTAAACTCATGATACCATTAAAGAAAAGCAAATGCATATTTGGTTTTATTAGTTTAAAAAATATACCGAATGACTCAATACTAGCTAACTACAAAAAGGCAGGGTCTCAAAGTTATAAAAAAAATCTGAGATTTTTGTCGATCTCTCGGACTTTCATTGGTAAAGAACAGTCTGTCCCATTTTGGACCAATCAAGTACCTGGGATATGAGTTCGAGCTTAGAAATGTCCTTATAACCTTTGACCAATTTCTTTGTATTTCAACCTAAACATTAACTTCATTTCTGACCAGGATATGTTTTATATCAAATATTTGATTGTTTTTCACATTATATTCTACAATTTTACAATGTATCTTATATCAAATACTGTATTGATTTTCAAATATTTTTTTGCAGTTTTAGCGTCCTAGAGGCTCAAAAATCAAATGGCATTGAAGATATTGGTGGAATAAAATGGCAATTGTGCTTATGCCTCATGGGCGTTATGATGACCATATACTTTGCCCTGTGGAAGGGAATCAAGTCATCCGGAAAGGTTTTATTTAAATTAAACATAATTCTTAACATGTTATGGAACAGTAAAATTGTATGTATAATTTAAGTTAAAGTATTATCTGAACCCTAATCCTGAATTTGTGTGATGGATTTGTATTGCTTAAAGTGACATTATGCTTATTTTTCGCTGTCAAGTTGAGCTGAATTATTGATTTGTTTAATTTGCTTCTGTAATGATCATTGACCAATAATTGATAATAAAAATGTTTAATAGGATAAAATAAACTACCTAAATTATAAAAAGACTGCCCCACTAATTTTAAAAAAATTAGATATCAACGATACATTATGAACGACATTTATAGAAAACTTTGGGTGACTCGGATTTTTGCTAATTTTACCATAATAAAATATAAAAAATTAAAGTTATTTTGACTTTCACCTGTGCACCCACCATTTATACTTTGATGTGTTTAATGTCCCTTTAAATCTCTATTTTAGTACGAAAAATACAACATCACATTTACCCAAAACATTAAAGATAGTTGGATCTTATGTAAATATCAAAATATTTTTCTGTGTCAGCTATTATACATATGAATTTCTTTTACTAAGAGTGCCAAAAACTCTAGAATAAAACAACCGACTTTTTTGATTTTTTTTCAGGCTGTATGGGTAACAGCAACAGTACCATATGTCGTTCTCCTGGTTTTGTTAGTTAGAGGCGTGACGTTGCCCGGGGCAGACGTTGGTATCAAGTATTACGTCACGCCTGTGTGGAGCAAACTTCTGGACAGTGGCGTAGGTCATTGCCCTCTTTCACTTGATAGAGATCACTTAACTCTTTTTATGTCATGTAATCATGTAACAAACTATATTCTTCCTTGTTTTATAAGGTTTTTTAAATTTGAGTGGTGGTTTGCGTTCGTTGTGTTCGTTGAACGTCGCCCTACCATGTTGATCTTTGTCCTCATATTTGGTATCAAAATTACAAAGGCTTGCAGCCAATCGTAACCATTCTGGTCTTGCTGTACTTGCTTAAATGCTCGCCATATCATTTACAGCTACTAGCATTTGGAGTAAAATGAACTCATTTATACTTTTATAGTTATAAAGAAATTGATATTTTGTTACATTTTATTTATCTTTGTATTTTACAAAAACATTTCATCTTTATGAACAAGTTTTACAAAAGTATATATGTTTCAACGTTTTATTTAATAATGACATTTTAAATTAAAAATGCAAGTACATTATTGTCACTTTTTAAAGCGGCTGCAAACGTGTCGCCTGGTAATATCAATGTGTCTTGATTTTTTCTGGACCTTTGGTGTCATAGATCCCAAATTGTTTAGTGTCTAGTCAGTGCTTGGAGCATGTGGCATGGGCGGTATCTTGCGTTTACCACTAAATACTCGAACAAGCTGAATCAAACTGACTCTACAACATTTTTAATTTGCAGATTTCGGCGTTCTTCAGGAATTCTGTCTTTTTTCTGTTTTGACGACTTAATTGTGCAAAATAGATGTTTATGGTCACGATGGATATTTCATTTGTCAATGTTTATCCTTTATGTTGTCAAAATAAAATAGTCAAAAGAGAAATCCCCTGAAAATTTCACAACAAGGCAAAACTGAAAATATTGCAGGCTCGGTCGATTTATTCTTTTCATAACACAGACAGAGGATCGTGTAAGCTACCTTCCGCGACCCTCAAGCAATTTTCATTCATCAGTTATTTTATCATCATTCTCAAGTGGAAAATCTTAAACATCGCCTAGCACGGACAAACTGAAACTCATGCATGCGTTGTTTGGTTCAGCAGGTCCACGGGCGTTAGTCCTAAACTGCCGTATATGCTGCCAATTAGTGACTGAAGCATAATTCAACGTTAACATATGAAAATGGTGAAACTGATTATATATTTGTCATGAACACGTAAACTGTAATACTTAATGCAGAAAAAAAATGTGCCCGAGGTATAAGGAAACATCTGTCGCCTAACTTAACATATATAATAATTCATTTTTATACAGGTGTGGCTTGATGCGGCTGCTCAGATATTTTTCAGTCTTGGACCAGGATTTGGAACACTTCTGGCTTTATCGAGCTATAATAAATTCAACAATAACTGTTACATGTAAGCTACTTCTTTAAGCTTGTCTGAATTTTCCAGTGTTATATATCTTATTAGTTTCGGAAATTTAAAAAAGCCACTTTAATTAAAGACTGTAGACTAAAAATTATTTGTTAATAGACTTCGGACAGAAAGGAAAGACGTTGATGTGGAAATGATGTATTTTCTTTCAAATACAGTTAATACAGTATAGAATTTTAAACCGAGGAGAAGAATTTGAATCATTTGAAGTATGAATGTATACATTTTTAATGCATTGAATTAATGTTTTAGGGACGCAATGTTGACGGCAGTAATAAACTGTTTGACAAGTCTACTGGCTGGATTTGTAGTGTTTTCTGTACTCGGATACATGAGCTATCGTTTGAGTATACCCATCGAGGATCTGGCGGTAGAAGGTAAGGTTTTTCAACTTTATACTATTTGAATCGTATCGGTTACTAGTGGTTACGGTCTCTGCCTCTCAGACAATTTGTTTGAATCCTTCTCTTGTCAGGGTCATGTTTGCGAACATGACACCAATATTGGTTTCGGAAAAGATTAAGATCAAAAATCAAAGGAAAATCGGTTTTGGAAGTTAGGTCCAATGGGTACCACAGTGATCCGTTGGACGATTAATGTAATTCAGTCGAAATCTTACAAAGCTAATACGGTAAAATCTTGTTCTGTGGCATAACAGTTCTTTTGCAATTGTTGTATCAGATATAACTTAAATCAGATATAGCATAACGAGTATGATAACTGCCAACTTTATAATTATTTGATAGTTATTTTTTCATAATGAGCCTTCGGTTTATTAAATAAAAAGGTCGTCTAGATAAGCAAAACTGAAAATGTATCAGGTCCAAATTTATCAAGAGCCTGTAAATTGAGGTACTACACGTTTCAAGTAACTCTCTTCTGTGAATCATATTACCGGCTTTCAAAAAATGTTCGGTATCCCTGAAATGATCACTTTCTTGAAAATTTCTTGCATGTTTAAGTAAAACGAAAATACGAGTGTAATACTTCTAAGAATTGATAAAAATAAAATAATGATTCTTATCTATGATATATACAGCCGATAATGAAACCCCAAAACACGTTGTGGTTTTCAACTTTCCTACAACGAGAGATTTCATATGCAGATTAGTTATTTTCTGCAAGCAAGCTTGTCCTGGTTTCGATCTTAAAATAAGAAAAAAATATGTTTAAACAACGCTAATGTAAGAATCGCCGAATCAAAGTTTTTTAATCCAAATACAGTTTTTAATCTTGAAATTTTGATACCATCAGAGGTAAATGAAAGTACATTTCAAGGCACAATGATATTGAGATATTTAAGATATATTTCTTTTGAACAAAATACGCAAATTTATTTTTGAATGTATTGAGATAATGTTCGATGCTTATAACGTGAGGAAAGCAGCGCTGAATACAAAGTAATTTGTCAAAAAGCAATACTTAAACAAAGTGCTACATTGTTGTCAAAACATTATACTAAATCACCTAATAAAGCTAATGGACGATAGAAAGAAAGCAATGATTGTACAGGATTTTATTTTTGGACTAGTTAACAGAGCACCAGAAAAAGGTTTCCTTGAGATACTTGTCACTAATTTGTGTTGAAATTGTATTGAAACTTAATGGTTTTTCGTCATTTTTTTGTTTATACGAGAACATTGAATCTATCATCGTTAAAAACTTAAATTATTTTACCTTGTGTCAAATAATTAAAGACCCTTTTCCTATTAATAACCAACAGATACTTAGAAATCAGCTAATCATAAAGTGTTGGGAGAACAGTCTGTGAAAAAGAGTCGAATAGAGATTCCCGATGAACTCATTACAGCAAACATAACGAATAGTGCAACCTATAGTGCTTTATTCGTAAGGATCACTCGAAAGGGTAACAGGGCTTAATGAAAGACAATGTAGAGAGAAACAAAATCCAAAACGGCAAAATTTATGTATATGAATATAAATTAAACAAAAAAAAATTTTATAATGATAATCCCGGTGTGTCGTAAAACTAAACCCCAAAACAGCTAAAATAAACAAGAAAAAAACCAATATTTTTTGTTCCTTTATTTAAATTTTTTCTTTTTTCAGGTGTTAAATTTCGCTTATATCTTATTTATTAAAATACAGAGAATTGTAGATTATTTTGACTTTTTAATGGTGTTTACAGATAAAAAAAAACCATATGTAATTCAAAACGTTACTATGGCGCTGACAAAATACGGCCTAAAAGCTTTACAGATTTGATAATGCAACATCTGGCAGAAAAAATGTAAAAGAACAAAAAAATTCTAATTTATTTTCAATGTTGCGTCTGTCAATTATGGTTTACATGATGTTATTATGATAATAATGCATAATTGTAACTGCCCTAGTTCGTAACAGTTGGCATACGTTTCAAGGGTATGCATGTTTGATTACTTATATTACAACCGAATGAAAATTACTATATATTTTGTACGAGCTGAACCCATCTATTAAATAAGTGTGAGCAATTTGACCCTTGCATGGTATAATAATAATGATAAAGGTTTGTAACCTAGTTTTCTTTAAACAGAAACAAAAAAACGAGGTGTAAATTTGATACGGCATTTTGAAGTAAACTTATGCCAGCGGTCTTTCAGAAGGTCATCATGGTCTGGAAATAAAAGCATTAAACACTGATAATAATTCTGTTATCACCTTTTGAATAATCTCACGTGTATAAATGAGATATCCTCGAAGCACCGAGCGATGTTTTCCCGCCCATTCTGCTTCAAATATCTTAATTCAATCTTCTCATATCGGATTTATCTCTTCCACTCATCAAATCGATAGCCTACGACAAGAATTGATGAATTTTCAAGATTTTTCAAGCAAACTTTCCCTCAACATGTTCCATGAATATCGGTGTTATTTGTTTTATTTCTTTACGCGGAATTTCCAGAGCTATTTTATCATTTCGCTAATCTGCACAGTTGATATAAATAATTTTGGAGCGATGTCAAATAGAATAACGGCTTGTTTATCAATTAAACATGATTTATTTATAAACCTTCTGCCACTCAAAAAATGTATTAAGATAAAATATATGATTATAATTGTTTTTTTTTTATTGATTTTTTTTAAACAGTTAAACCCAATTATATAATAAAATTATTTAAAAAGCAGTTCAAATAGCTTAAAAAGTAAAAATAAAATGTTATAGCCCCTTTCAAAACACAAAATACAACCTTCTTTTAAATATAACACCCTTACAATGGTATTTTTATAAATAAATAAATGAATAATTAAATAAATAAATAAAAACAAATTGAGGTGTGTGTATGTGGAGGGGAGAGGGCATGTTTTTTTCTTCAAAAATTGCCTGCACAATAGTGTAACTTTCACTTTCATTTAGTTCATCAGGTCTGAAGAAAATAATTCACCTACTTTCTTCCTCTTCGAATATTTCTTTTTCTATAAAGTGTTATCGCATTCATGATGAAGAACGAATTGAAACATATTTCTGCGATTCTCACCCAGGTATGACTATCATAGATAAACAAGAATGGTCAGATTGGATCAGTCCGCATTTTGGGAAAAACCTTTCGGGTTTTAATTCTTGTACCCGTATCAAAATGAATTAAGTGAAAGATGGAGTTTAGTAATGAAACTGTGAAAAATAGAAAATTTCTGACGTGTCATTAATAATGAAAGGCTTTCCCGTTTTGATGGTCCTTAAGTCGAAATTCGTTTTATGTTGTATTGTTTTTTTTTTGTATAGATCCATCATATATTATCTTCTTAAAACTTCATTTTGTAGGCACTTTATTCAATACTTATAATGTAAAAAAAAACGTCTGGAAGCTACACTATTTTTTAAAGTTATTTTTTACGAGTTGTATATCCGTTAAACCTCCATTGTACCAGCTAAAACTACAATCCGTTCTTGTCTTCCGTTCATTGGAACTTGACTTCAGAAATAACAGGAATTAAAATGATAAAATGTTTACTGCTATAACTTGGAGAGGACTTACACTTATAACCTTTCATAGCTTTCTTCCCAATCCCAAAAATGTATTGCGTAAATACTGTTCATCATGCAAAATGTAAATTTATTGAATAAAAATGTTTTAAACAAAATAATAACAAAATCACATCATTCATAGACAGAGGATTTCAATTTGTATATTAAACTCTTGCATTGTGAACATAAAACCAATATTTATATATTCAGCAAAATAATGTTGTCAGTGAGTATCTAATCAATCAGATCATTCATAGATAAAAGACTGGTCAATCACTGTGCAGTTATATGTAAGAGAAATTTAAATGAAATTATTTATAACCTTTACCGCTTTTAAATACAGTAAAATAACTTGAAAATGTCTTGAAATACTACTACGATTAAATAGAGATCGGGTAAGTTTATCACGTATCATCACTGAAAAGCTACTGGTTAAACTAGTAACTTCTAAAAGAGTCTACGGTGGCATTTTCGTCGTTTTGTTTCATTGTTAAAATGTCTCAGTAAATCCTCGTGCATGTTCGGGAAGGTGGTAATCGTGAATATATCCTCGTCAAAAATCCGGAGACACGTTTATGATAAGTTGATAAGGGTGTTTAAAGCAAAGCATATTAACGCTGGATAAAAGAACATTCTCAAGTTTTAATGTAACCAATCTAATGTTACAGTTTTGATTGAGACGACTTCCCTACAAATATATAAGCTTGATTTGATTTAAATAAGCGGTTTTGCATTTTAGAATTCTAGATCGAGAACAGTTATGCCAGAGGGATTATACTCATTTTCAGGGCTATGTGACTAAAACTGTACACAGCTAAAGACATCATGCATGATATCATTTTAATTTCCCTGTTTGTATAGGTCCAGGTCTAGTTTTCTACGTGTACCCGGAAGCGATTGCGACACTGGATGGATCTGTTGTTTGGTCAATCATATTCTTCGTCTTGCTCATTACACTTGGACTGGATAGCAGTGTAAGTGATGCTGTGATTCAATCAATGTTTTCGTTAAATGCGTTAAAAATTTTCAATTTATATTATAATACGAGGTTTATTCATTAAGATAATAAGATAAAAAATGTAACTCTAATTATGAGTGCATGGTGCAAATTTGATTATATACTATCATTTACCGATGAACCAAAGATTGTTTGACGTATCATGCATATGTGATTACGTTGTCCATTTCATTAATTGTTACCTTGAAATAATACATGCTCTAAGGAAATGTTTTGTTTCAGTTTTAAAGATTCGAATTTCTACTTACGTTTATCTTTGCTTTGCTGTCTGTCTAATAAACAATATCGTTTACATTAATTTTGTTATGCTATTTTAGCCAACTTTAGTTTCGATCGGTTGTTTGTATACATATAATTCGTTCTCATCGATTTCCTTCTCTAGTTTCTTTTTTTTATCATGGCCAGTTCACTTTTGTTTTTCGTATGTTACTGCATATTAATTGCTTCGCTTATTCGTATGTTTTAATTCTGATCTCAAAATATCTAAACTACGTCATTTTTGTTTTTAGTTCGGAGGTTTGGAGTCAGTTATTACAGCAGTTTGTGATATGAGCCCAAAACTGGCATCCAGACGAGAGCTTGTTACCTTATGTGTGGTCATTTATTGTTTCCTTGGCGGACTTCCTACCACAACTTACGTAAGTACATAATTTTGAAATGGGAAATTAGTTACGTGACCGTAATATCAAGATTGGTTTACCATGCAAATTCTTTTCGCAATATTCATCTTTTAGACAATAACTGAAGATTATTAATTCCAGATTTGAATGGGTATAAATAGTGATGTCTTTAAAATGACCTTGAATCTCTGACAAGATCAAACCGCACATGCTTATTATGAAGATTTAATCTTTGAACGCTGCTATAATTGTTATTGAATGATTAGAATGTTTTGCCTTCAACTTTTCTAAGAACTGCATACACTTACTATAACAAATACAGAAGTCTTTTTTTTTACTTTTATGTATATCAAACTGTATATCAAACATATACTTTAATATATTTTCAGTTAACAGAATTGATTTTTTTTCAACCACAAAAAGAGACAAATAAGTTAAAAATCAATCAATCAATTTTAAATTATAAAAATCATATCAATATCATTGTATACTTCAATGACAACATGATCAATATCTATTATCCATGCTTAATGACCCCTTTGTGGCTAAGGGGTTGCCAGTAAGGGTTGATGCATCAGAACTGCAGCCACGGGTTTAACTCTGCTTGATCGTAAGAAGCGACTAACTGGGGTATATGCATCTCTCTTACTCCAGCAGATAAGGTGGTTTTGACCCCTGGTGTTGCTTTAAGTTTGTAACACCCAAGGTTAGCCAAAATAATATTTCCTGTTTCGGCGCCGTATGATCTTAATTGAGCTGGTGCGCCGTTAAACATTAAACAAAACAAACTACACTCAATGATATACGTAATGAGTTCTTATCGTGCATTTTCATCTAGTTGAATATATAATTCAAATATGTGTTTTTTTGGGGATTTCTTTTGCACAAAGTCTCAAGATGTATGGTGCCTTGAAAGTGTTTCTGGCGTATGTTATGACTTTTTTGTCCTGCAAAAAGCAAGAAATTATGAGAATGTGTGTTATTTGTCAGTCAAAACATCCGATACTGTTGTAACGTTTAGTAGAATATGATTAATAAACACTGTATGTTTTTGTTGTTGTTTTTTAATGGTACAGTGTTCTGTTTTGTTGAATTTTATGTCCTGTAACATTCTCCAGAAACAACAGAAATTCAACACGATATTTTATAATTGCTAATTACAGGTAATACCTTAAAATGCTGAAAGAAAAACATAAAAACAAATATCGCGTAAATCGTCCGTATTTCTGCAGAAATGTCATGAAAGTCTGCTCTCGTCCATAGTTCCAAGAAAATTACAATATTATTTGTTTCATACACTTTATTAAATAGTTTCAATGGTTGTTATCGTATTTATCCCATGTCTTTTTTTCATGTAAATGTTTTATTGCAATTCTTTAGCGGTTTTGCCTCGTTCACTTATACCTTGTTTCCGGCAATCGAGTCATCCCTAAAATTCTCTTATTTTTACGATTTGCTTGTATATCACGTACCGTACTTACTATTATTAGTTTAATCTTTATTTATTCAACAAATTGTACACACAATACAGTAACATTTACAAACTTTTCACAACAAAGTTAGTCAGACTGGAGTGGGAAACAAGTAAAACAATACTTCTATCAATACCTTTCTTAAAGGTAAATTTTCAAAATAAAGATACAAAAATGTTGCGGTTAAATGTAAGCTTTTTGGGTGTACAACTAAGGTAACTTATGGAGAAAAGCTGACAGTAAGGAAGAATATAAGAAGAAATATGATTGAATATATCCGAATTTTGAATACCTAAAATAAACATGTAAAGGAATATGAGCGTACTATTATGTACCTATATTATAATTTGCATGAAACATTGATAAAAAATCTGAATGGAAACAAAAAGCACAAAAAAATATGATAGCATTTTATAGCTGCAATAGTGCATGCATTTGATGTTATCTCTTTTTTCGTTTCCACGTAATCTGAAATAATTATGACAGTAATATGACTAATGAACGTATGCTGTTTTTCTTGTTAATATAATGAAGTTTATTGTGCAAAATCACAAGTGGTATGTTTTAATGTAATATAATGGGGTACTGAATGGGAGAATATCATCACGGGGAATGCGTCTGTATTATAACAAAGTTATCAAACTAAAACTGAAGATGTAAAGAAAGTATTTAAGTATTCTTTGTAAATTGAGTGAAGTATTTTCGAGAATTAAAAAAATAGATCAAAGATACGTATGTACGGATTCCCTGAAGTGACAATATATAAATTCAGTCGAGCTATTTTAGCATTCATAACTAACGTGAGCTTAAACCGTCATTAATTGTCCTGTCCGTTCAGTTGTCCATTTAGATATTTGTTGCTTAAAGCGCCACTAAAATTGTTTTGATATCTTTTGAGTCCATTTTGGATCAATGAGGGTAAACAGTCATTTCCGAAAGCCAGTGCTCGAAGCTAAAAAAATTGGTATGAAGCAGCTTCTACTGAAACGGTACCAAGCTCTTTCAAATTAAGATTGATTCTCTTTCTCGTACAAAAAACACAACATTCTAAAATCTTCTTTTTTTGACACCCATTATAATATTATATCCGTTTCAGGGTCGACAGTACATTCAATATAACTATGTATTATTAAATAAAAAGGCACATTCAACTTTTATTTTATGATGGACTATAAAAAGTACGTTAGTGTACACACAATTTATATCTATTTCGGAATACGTTAGTGTATTTTACTATATGGTTCAGTTGGACAGTAAATTACTACGTTAATGTACACAAATTTTATATCTAGTTCGAGATGGGCAGTACATTATTACATTAATGTGCACACAATTTATATCGATTTCAGGGTGGGCATTACATTAATACATTAGTGTATTTTACTATTAGGTCAAGTTGGACAGTAAACTACTACGATAATGTACACATATTTTATATCTGTTTAGGGGTGGGCAGTACATTATAACATTAATGTACACTCAATTATATCGATTTCAGAGTGGGCAGTACATTATTACGTTACTTGACACACATTTTACTTTCAGGTCAAGGTGGGCAGTACATTATTACATTTATTTAATGAACACTCATTTATATCGGTTTCAGGTTGGGCAGTACATTATTTCGTTAATGGACACACATTTTACTTTTAGGTCAGGGTGGGAAGTACATTATTACGTTAATAAACACACATTTTATATCTATTTCAGGGTTTGCAGTACATTATTTCGTTAATGTACACACATTTTACTTTTAGGTCAAGGTGGGCAGTACATTATTACGTTAATGTATACACAAATTTAATATCTATTTCAGGGTGGGCAGTACATTATAACGTGGGTGTACTTTACTTTTAGGTCAAAGTGGACAGTAAATTATAACGTTAATGTACACACATTTTATATTTATTTCAGGGTGGGCAGTACATTATTACATTAATGGACACACATGCTGCACCGGTTGCTCTCATTGCTATTTGTTTTATCGAAGCAATCTCAGTCAACTGGTTCTATGGTAAAGTCTTTTTCTTTAAATTTTAATATATATTTTATAGTCTATTTCTAATGATATCCTTTTACACAAAATTAGTTCATCAATTTTTCACAGTTATTATAACTAATTCTTATTTTTCCTGCTAAGAATAACTTTGAAAATAATATTTGTTGAATTCTGTTTACTATAAAAAAACGTTTTATAAAATCTGAATCTTCTTAAAAATTTCTAAATATATGTGAATTTGATTCATTTTATTCGTGAGGTTTTTATTTAGTAAAAAAGGAATACATAATTCTATCGTATTGGTCTTGTTACTAGATTGTCACATCTTTAGAAGTACTTATTTTCAAGGTTTTAATTATGTTAAATATGTAGCCATGATGAGCATTTATTATACAATAAAACAACAACAAATTGTTTTCAATAATTTGTTTTATTTTTGTGTTAATTATGTTATGCCTGTATGTTTACAGAAGTTTATGGGTTATTAATCATAAGTGAGAGGAGTTTATCTTGTTAGATTAAAAAAAAGAGATGTATGCTTAACCGAGATATAAATCCCTTTGTCCCGCTTGTGTCCCTCTTTCGCCCACCTTCATCCAACAGTATGTTAATTGTATGATAAACTGTCCCTCGTTCGTTCCACTTTCGCCCACCTTCATCCAACTTTCGTCCCTCTTTTGTCCCGCTTTCACCTAACTGTAATCCAACTTTCGTCCCTCTTTTGTCCCGCTTTCACCTTACTGTAATCCAACTTTCGTCCCTCTTTTGTCCCGCTTTCACTTAACTGATAATTCCAAACTTTCGTTCCCTCTTTTGTCCCGCTTTTTTCACCTAACTGTAATCCAACTTTCGTCACTCTTTTGTCCCGCTTTCACCTAACTGTCATCCAGCTTTCGTCCCTGTTTTGTCCCGCTTTCACTCATGTGTAATCCAACCTTCGTCCCTCTTTTGTCCCGCTTTCACCTAACTGTAATCCAACTTTCGTCCCTCTTTTGTCCCGCTTTAACCTACTTGTAATCCAACTTTCGTCCCTCTTTCGTTCCACTTTGGCCTGTAACTATCAGAATTAAGCAATGTTTACCATGCACATTTTGTTTGATAAACTGTATCTTTTGTGCACAGGTGTCCAAAGGTTTTCGAACGACATTGAAGAAATGTTGGGATTTCAACCCGGGTTATACTGGAAGATATGCTGGGCTGTCCTGTGTCCACTGTTTCTGTTTGTAAGTACATGTGCATACATTTAAACTAACTTTAACGTACGAAAGACTGGTGGTGACATTTCAACTTCTTGAATTCTCGGGTTCATCTTCAGATATCACAATTTCAACTTTGTGAATTCACGATTTCAACATACAAAAATCACGATTTCAACTTCATGAATTCAAGAATTCAACGTCATAAATCCACGATTTGAAATCGTGAATTTGTGAATTCCGTATGCTGAAAACATGAATTAAAGAAGATAAAATTGTGAATTCAAGACACTGAAATCGGGAATTCGTGAAGTTAAAATGTCCCCACCGGTCTTCCGTATTCTAGTCTGTATCACTTTTACTGTGTAAATGGTATAAAACCTAATGCGAGAATATAATCTTCAGGGAGAACAATGCCACAAATCTATGGCAAATACCAAGTAAATATAATTATATTATACATGTAAACTGTTCAAATGTTGTACTTTAGTGTCAACGCGGCAGTATAATTGATATTTTTGTATCTGTTACTCGCTTTTCATGAGATTACAAACTATCTTGCACTATATGCTATATTACACATTTTAATCAAACTGCGAGTTTATTTTGTATTATTTTTTTGTGTAGGACATTCATCTTAAAAGAGTGTAAAACAATATTGTATATTTTACCAGTTTTATCCCCCTCCCTCAAAAATGATGCTCTAGAGAAATAGATCCAGAAATAAACTGAGCATTATATATTTGTGGTATTTCAGCCCGTTACAACGTTTTTCCCCCCAGTTTTGGGTCGTTTTCACAATTAAAAAAATAATTCTGGGAAACGGAGTGAACATTTGTCACAAAAAATATTTCCAGTCCCGTCAGGAGTAAACAGCAGTGCAGTCCCTTTAACCATGTCTTGTTTTTTTATTTCTAGGTCTTATTTATACTCTCCATATTCGCATATGCGGGGCTGTCGCTGGATGCATATGTTTTCCCGGCGTGGTCAGAGGTTGTTGGTTGGTTAATTACCGTCAGTTCATTGTTGTGTATACCCGCTTATATGATCTACAGTTTGATCGTCACACCTGGAAACATTCAACAGGTATTTAGTCCAAACGCTACGGCCTTAACACAAATCACGTGATGATGGTCTAATCACATGATTGTGTCAAGATGGCGAATACACCAAAGAAATCGTTGATTGACCAACTGTTTTATCTGTAATAAACAGCGACATTATAACTTGAGCTTTGGTGTCAAGTATGTCGATATGATTGAAAATTTCATTTTTGTTTAGTGAAGAATCGAAATTATTAATAACTTGATGATTTCGCCATTATTTGGAAATAAACGGGGAGATATATATTAAAAATTATTTTCGTTATATTTATGTTTCCAATATTATATTTTATTTAAATTCACATCTAACACCTAACGGTCTTAAAACATTAGCAAAACCGTGTTTACTGTTTAAAATAAATATTAAAATTGAAAAAAAATAATATCGTCAAAAATCTTGATGGAAGAGATCTAATCCTGTAAAGGGAGATCACTGCGTGGGAGATTGGTATTTAGTCATTTTGTGTTACCTATCTTGATTTAATAGTCATTTAATAAAAATATATAATATTCTAAAGAAAATGATTCAAAATTTTTTGTAGCCATGTGTATAAATGATTCTCAAACATGTACAATATTTTTGACAGGTTATATTACCCTAAATGAACGGCTGTTTGGAAATATAACCCCAGGCGTTTATATATGGCCATATAACCTGTCCTAAATAGCTATAACGAATTTATAATACAGCAAGCATTTGTTTTTAGAGAAAAAAAGTGAGATTTCTTTATAAATTTAACAGCAGCCGTGTATATAAAGCTTTATAATACTGCACGTTTGTAACGTCGCTTTTCATTGGATAATCGTGACGTTTATATTATTAGTTATAAAGATTGTTGACATGTTATATGGCCCTATATAAAAGGCTGTTTGTAAATATAACCCGAGCCGCTAGGCGAGGGTTATATTGCAAACAGCCGTTTATATACGGCCATATAACCTATCAACAATCTTTATAACGAATTTATAATACAGCAAACATCATTTTTTAGAGAAAAAAGTAAGATTTCTTCATGAATCGACAACAGCCGTGTATATAAAACTATATAAACGTCACGATTATCCAATGAAAAGCGACGTTACAAACGTGCAGTATTATAAAGTTTTATATACACGGCTATTGTCGACTCATGAAGACATCTTACTTTTTTCTCTAAAAAATGATGCTTGCTGTATTATAAATTCGTTATAAAGATTGTTGACATGTTATATGGCCGTATATAAACGGCTATTTCCAATATAACCCTCGCCTAGCGGCTCGGGTTATATTTACAAATAGCCGTTTATATAGGGCCATATAAGCTGTCAACAATTTTTTATAACTAATAATATAAGCATCACGATTATCTAATGAAAAGTGACGTTACAAACGTGCAGTATTATAATGTACGGTAACTTTACAATTGGTAGCATTACGAAATAATATTAACGTTACGACTGTCCAATTAAAATCGGTATTACATTATGTGCAGTATAAGAAACCTGTTCTGTAAACATGTTGTTTTGTGCTTTATATACATGTATTATGTTATAAGCACTGTAAAATGTTTAATACGGAATAAACTTTATGGTATTGTTTTGCATATACTTATGATTTATGAATTTTATATTTAACTCAACCAATTCAGTGGCAATCAAAATAGCTAGACGAGTATGTTCCACGATTAATCGAAGAAGAAAATTAAAAGAATACATAATAAAACTAAACTCTATTTAACAAAGGTAGCTTTATATTACATGTAACACAAAACATTATAGATAACAAATAAAATGCAAAACCTTATTTTCAACAAGGCCTTCAATATACATGTACATACAATATAATTAATATAGTTACATGTATCTATTTGATAAAATTAGTATACTATGAATTCAACAATTAAAATTTAACACTCAGGTGCTATTTGATTGAGTCCTAAGTTTATGATATTAAATTCTTTTTTAAACGTTTTGGTATTTCAGAAATTGGTGAGAATGTTTCGGCCGTCAGGAACGTTACAGATGCCCGATTATTACAGGACGGTAAATGGAAATGGCGTAGTGCACGTAAACTCGTCAGAGTTAGTTCCCTTTCATCCCGATTATAAGGGAGTAAACATAAATATGACAAATTATAATGCTTTCATCAAAGATGATAACACTGTTACACAAGATAATGAAAATACAAACCTAAATGAAAAGGAAACAGTGGAAGAAAACTGTCCAAATGGCGGATTTAATACTTATGGAACAAAAGATATTTTGGAAAATGGCAATATAACTACTGTTCAAGATACTTAATGTACAAAATGTAGAAACATTGACGAGGATTCGGGGAGAATCTGCATACAAATGGAAGCATTGAAGTGTATTAATTAGTGCATAATCTTGTGACAAGAAGTTATTATCTTTGATCATTTTGTATGTACAAATTTGAACTGTAAACAGAGGTACATTTTTACATACGGATTATGTTTATGTTCCGATACAATGGTGTTATTTCAACAAAAATCAGGTGAAAATAGTTTGTGCAATATTTCTTCATGGAATATGAAAATAGTTTTCTTTCACTAAGTACTTTATAAGAATGTATTCATTTATTTAATGATTTAATGTCACGATAAATTAGTATCCGAGTTTGTAAATGTCCCGATTGAACATGTTAAAATAAGCAACATCTACAGCACAACTTTCTGTAGTGCAATTACCTCTTTACAGCGACAGTATTATTTCTACCCAAAGTAAAACTTGACTCTTAAAAGTAGTACCTCTCTGTAACAACCAATATATCTGTCAGCCAAAGGGCGTTGGTTTGCAGGGATTGGAATGTAGACACTTGCTAAGACAATGTATATTAAAGCTCCGTTCGTTCACAGCAGCTAGGAGCAATACAAATACATGTATGTGCTGCATGTCACCTGAGGAAACACGTGCATTTTTAACAATGAACACTAAGGTATAAATCGCATCTTGTCGTAAATAGGAGGGATACGATAATGTCCGGTTATCTGAAACAAAAGTTTATATTCTTCCTTTAAATCAAATCTGATTGCCCATTTATTTATCAATTTCAGGGAAACACCAGATCAAGTTACTAAATTGTTACATTCGTTACTTACGCAGAGAGAGTAAAAGTGGCATGCCGCCAGATTTTTTACATTCATTTTGTAATATTTAGAATATCAAATTCAAAAAAAGAATTAAATTACTGGTAAAATTTTTTTTTTATATTTTGTATTAAATATTAGTTATAAAGCATTATCTATAAACTCAATCTGACTAAAGTTCAGATCTATTTATTTCTTACATGCAGATCTGATTACCACCGTATATGTTTCGCCTTCATTGTGATTCGGATTTCCCGATAAAGATAATTTTAACCATGCAATCAAACCGGTTTAGGTAAAGAAAGGCATTAGAAGAAGTATCAAAATTTCGTTGTCCGTGGAAGTAAAACAAATTGTTTATTTTTGTTAGAAAAAAATGTTTGATGTAATTTGAAACAAGTGAACCGAAAATAAAAGTCTCAATTTTTAATGGACAATATTGTTTTGCCAGTTTACCTGCAGGGTATATGGACAACGCCGTGTTTGTTCTCTCGAAATCGTGAAAAGTACCTACTTGGTATTGGTTTTCCAGCGGTTAAAAATAGAAAACTCGTCCCTTTCAAAATTATGAAAACTCACCAATGATTGGCTGTTTAAAAAATGCAAGAAGGTGATAACCTATTGGTGATCATCAGATCCTAATGCCTAACCGGTCAAAAACTTTACATACATTACCTCTAGTTCGTTTCGAGCGTTTCAAATAATTCTACCTCAAATACTAGTACTACTTCAAGCACATGAGAATACTTTACGTATTGATATGCTATGATAAATAGCCAATCAATGATTGAGAAGAATCTGGTAGCGTGCCACTTTAAACAATGATGTATTATTTTTATTCAGTTAATAAACGAAGAAAGAACAGATCTTCATAAGTTTATTTTTTGTTGTTCCTAAAGTCGCAATTCAAAGTTTCATATATGTTTTTTCTAATAGAGAACGAAAATGGAGAATGATATCTTCAGCAGACATTCCTTATGACAAACATGTACACATCTTGATGACACAGACAGTTTAATCATTAAAACAAGTATTTTAACACTTATTATAGAAATAAAACTGCTAAATTCAATTCTTTTGATATCATTGAATCGTGTTGGCATTTCCCCCATTTTTTTCGGACGAAATCCGCCTGAGATCGGGTAAAATATACAGGAATTGAATAAAAGTAGAATATTCATGGATCAGTTTAAAATTGCAAACTGAAATCATGGAATCTCATTGGCTATTTATTTTTGAATTAGTAGTATAACCTAAAGGATCTATATACATCCAAATTCTACATTAATCAAAAGGTCTGTGATCTCCCTCCAAATAAACAATTTACTTAAATTCAATAATTCTCTAGAGAATAGCTTATCTAACATTAGAGTTTACCGAGTTATAAAATGTCCTATAACTTTTGTCAAAATGACGAAACTATCAAAAATGGGTCAAAGACAGAAAAGGCCGGGTTGCATTTGTATACCAAATCTAATGATGCTGTGATGTTACGAAAAAAAATTACTACTGACCATTAATGTTGAAAAGTCGGTAAACAGGAAGTGGATGATCAACAGACCTGAAATAAAATCCCAAGGTATGGAACTACATGTCAATGTTGTATGCCAAATATCAAGAGGCTGTGATAAGTAGTTGCTGAGAAAACTGTTACGAAAATTTCCTATCATTGACCATTAATGTCGAAAATTTAACTAAATCGATAAACAGAAAGTGGATGAGTGACAAACCTGAAATCGAATCCCACAGTATGGGACCACGTGTCAATGCTGTATGTCAAATACCAAGAGGTTGTGATAAGCAGTTGCTGAGAAAACTGTTACGAAATTTCCTACAATTGACCATTAAGCTGCGGTCTCACTCCCGGCAGAGCCCAGGACCATCCCGGTAAGTAACGATGCTCCGGGACGATCCGGGGTGAAATTATTGTTGCGGGCACTCTTACCCCGGCAGCATTACGGTAGTTCCCAACTAACCACCCAGGATGCGCTCCGGATCATCCAGGCAGAGCCCAGGTGAAGCTACGGTTCATGCCGGTGCTTGCCCGGTCGTTCCCGGATGACGCCGGAAGAGCCCCGATTGACCCAGGCAGAGCCAAGGACGATCCAGGCAGAGCCCCGGTGGATTGAAAACGCCCGAAAATGATCACATTGATACATAATGTTTATTTAATATAATATCTATTGTTCCAGAATAGTAATTCATGATGATTTCCTGAAAAATCCTTATGCCATACTGGATAGAAGGGATATTGGAAGGGTTTTAATACAAACAAGTGGAATCATCGCAAATTGTCATTATTCTTTGAAATGATCCGCGCTTTGCCGGGGCTCTACCGGGATCAACCGTAGCTCTACCTTTATTCTCCGGGGCTCTGCCTGTAGTTACCGGGGCTCTGCCGGCATATACCGGGGCTCTACCGGCTATATCATACCCCGGATCATCCCCGGTTTGTGCCGGCAGAGCTACGGTGCTTCCCCTGTATAACCCCGGTCGTTTCCAGCAGAGCTAAGGTTGAAGCCGGCAAAGCTATACCTTCCCGGATCATCCCGGACCACCCCGGTGATATTAAATATTTTATTCCATCCGGGGTCGAATGCCGGAAGTTCCCGGATCATCACGGACGTTGCCGGCAGAGTTACAGATGTATTCCGGTTGTTACCGGTCGTTCCCGGATCACCCCGGATGTCTACCGGGCCTCTGCCGGGATGTAAGTGAGACTGTAGCTTTAATGTCGAAAATTTTACTATGTCGATTAACAGGAAGTGAATAAGCTACAGACCTGAAATCGAATCCCACGGTATAGGACACTGTGTCAATGCTGTATGCAAAATATCAAGAGGCTGTGATTAGTAGTTGCTTTGAAAACTGTTACGAAAAGTTCCTACCATTGACCATTAATGTCGAAAATTTAACTAAGTCGATGAACAGGAAGTGGATGAGTGACAGACCTGAAATCGAATCCCACAGTATGGGCCCACCTGTCAATGCTGTATGCCAAATATCAAAAGGCTGTGATGAGTAAACTGTTACGAAAATTTCCTATCATTGGCCATTAATGTCGAAAATTTAACTAAGTCGATTAACAGGAAGTGGATGAGTGACAGATCTGAAATCGAATCCCACAGTATGGCCGTGTGTCAATGCTGTTTGGTAAAAATCAAGAGGCTGTGATAAGTAGTTGCTGAGAAAACTGTTACGAAATTTTTTCCCCGCCCGCAAACCACCAGCCCGCCGCCCATTATTCAACATACTATAACCCGGGTTTTCACATGTGCAACCCGGCCAATAACGTTTACGTGCTGAAAGCACATGCATACAAAATACATCAAATAATACAAAACCTGTTTGGTACACTAAGATCACGTTGAAGTGTTCATAATTTATCATTATTATGTGTTCAATTGATACAAATTTCGGTATACTTTTGCATATTAATACATGTAATAAGGCATAACATTATTGTGTGCATGCAAACGTTAGTGTAAGGTATACTTAAGGAAACTGTAGTCAGTTCCATTTAGAAATATATATGTAGCTTGCAGTGTCTTTAGATCTAATACAATACACCGAAATAACATGCAAGTAAAAGCAGTTTTTCTTTGTTCTAATATCTTTTTGAAGATACTTCTTGTTAACAATGATACGGGAGATAATAAGAAAATTAAGCAAGGTACATGATTCTTTGACACTGGACTCCATCTCACTAACAAAAGGTGTATAACTGGTACTGGTATTGCAGTATGCACTCACTTTGCAAGTACTGGTACTGATACTGAGTTCTTCACTCAAAAGTTTGTTTACACTTTCACTGGTACTGCATTACTGTCCCATAAAACTGACATCAATCTTGCAGTAACGAGACAGTACTTTTGTGTCCATTACAAACAATTTTAAACTCTTTAACTTGTTTCAGTTTACGCTTGGAACCAAAAATAAGGCATTCAGTCTTTCCTAGATGAAGTGACAATTTGTTATCTACAAGCCAAGATGGACAAAACTCTATTGTTTGTCCAAGTTTTTGAGAAATAATAGCACAAGAAGAATTGCACTGTCATCGACATACAGAATGAGTTTACAATCTTGATCTATACTAATTCTCACGTCCTTTACGTAGCACAAAAATAAAAGAGGACCCAGGGTGTTACCTCGGGAACTCCACATGTTATAGGCATATAATCTGATAGAATATTATCAACACTAACAGTTTGTTTTCTATCTCTAAGATAAGACATAAACCAGTCAGTATTTGGGATACCCATCAATTTCAGTTTTCCAAATAAAATAGCATGGTCAACAGTATCAAATGCTTTTTGTAGATCTAACATTATCATGCCTTTGCATAAACCTTTGGCATTGTTATTTCTGATATGATCCATAAGATGGATAAGACAAGTGTCAGTAGAATAGGAATTTCTAAAACCTGACTGTAATTCATACAATAAACCATTATCAACTTAAAATTTTTCAATTTGTGAATACACTGATTTTTCTAAAATATTTGATACAATGCTTAAAATGCTTACAGGTCTATAATTTCCTACTTCAAGATTACTGTTCTTTTTATATAGAGGTTTTACCCTAGCTACTTTCATGTAATCAGTAACAATATTTTCTGAAATTGACATATTCATAATAAAAGTAATTGGTATTTTCAACTAGAACTCCGCGAGTCGGATGTGTCGCCTTGTGAACAATATAGTTTAGGAGAAATGGCCACGACAAAAATGAAATATGAAAATCAACAAAGGGCAATAACTCAAAAAATAAGAAATGCAGAGCAGCAGTTTCTGTGCATTGCACTTCTTATCAATAAGATATATCATCCTATTAAGTTTCAAGTCTAAAGATTTTATAATTTATGAGAAATGTCCCGGACAAAAATAAAGTATGAAAATTAACAAAGGGCAATAACTCAAAAAATAAGAAATGCAGAGTACCAGTTCTTGTGCACTGCACTTCTTCTTGATGAGATCTATCATCCTATAAAGTTTCAAGTCCATAGCTTTTATACTTTAGGAGAAATGGCCCGGACAAAAATAAAGTATGAAAATTAACAAAGGGCAATAACTCAAAAAATAAGAAGTGCTGGTTCTTGTGCACTGCACTTCGGGTCATTATAAGAAGCATGCATACCAAGTTTGAAGTCAATCCAACTTATAATGACTGACTTATGCTCCGAACAAGCTTTAGGGGATGCCGACAACGACGACGACAACGACGCCGCCGACAAAAGTAACCCCTATATGTCGCCTTTTTCAAGGCGACACAAAAAGGAAGCTGCATCTTTTAAAAATCTGGCAGGAATTTCATCTAAACCAGTACTCTTTGATGAGTTTAAATTCTTAAGCTCTTTATATACAAATGTCTCAGACACATGTTTCAAGTACATTGTATTATCCCCCGCCGAAAAGGCGGCGGGGGATATAGAAATAGTCTCCGTCCGACCTTCCGTCCGTCCGTCCGACATTTTTGTCCGGAGCATATCTCTAAAAGTATTTGAGTTATCAACTTGAAACTTCATAGGTGGATATACCTCATTGAGTAGGAGTGTAGTGCACAAGAATGATAACTCTACCTTGCATGATTTTTGAGTTATTGCCCTTTGTTATTTTTCAAAATTGATTTTTGTCCAGAGCATAACTCCAAAAGCCTATGAGATATCAACATGAAACTTCATAGGTGCATAGATCTCACTCAGCAGGTGTGCAGTGCACAAGAATGATAACTCTACCTTTCATATTTTTTGAGTTATTGCCCTTTGTTATTTTTCATACTTAATTTTTCACCTGAGTGGAGCATAACTCAAAAGGTGTTTGAGATATCAACATTAAATGTCATAGGTGGATAGATCTTATTGAGGAGGAATGTTGTGCGC